TAAAGGCACCTCTTAGGAGCACCCATCTGCACAGAGGACGATGAAGGTGGGAAATCTTAGTTTAGACTCAGCCTTTATTTTTGCAAAGGTTGCTGTAACCAGAGAAAAATATGAAACACTATCATACTCACAATAAATTATACCACTCATACTAATTCGTCAGCACAGTGGAAAAATGGGAATAAAATTAAATATAAAGGACACAAACTAATGACCACAGATACAACAGCCAGCCTTAGAATTGATAGTGGAGACATCAAACTGGTGGGTAGCTTCTTCCATCAACAGTAAAGGAACAAGCAAGCAAGAAATATGCCACTGAGTAGCACTCAGTAGCGTGGCCACGAAGGCCTTGGAAAAGATTCAAATTTTGTGAGCTCTCTAGATTTAGAAAGATTGGAATTGTGCAAGCCATGGAATTCCCTGGGACACTCTATGGAAGCCAAAATTGGATTTTGAAGAAGCAGGCTAGGAAGAATATTAATGCTTTTGGACTTTCAATGTTGGAGAAGATTCCTGAGAAGACCATGGATAACCAAGAAAATAAACAATAGGATCATTAAATAAATCAACCCACTTGAGGCACAAATGACCAAGCTCAAATTATCCTACTTTGGACATATTATGCAAAGACCTAACTCTCTGGAAAAAGATCAAATCCTGGGAAAGACGGAAGAAAAGAAAACATGAGGACAACCAGCAGCAAGCTAGATGGACACATCGTGGCGATGATGCACCATTGAAAGTCTTGAAGAAACAATTAGATCATCATGGGGTTCTATCTATGTGGTCATTAGGAGCTGAAAATGACTTGATGGCACATAATCACACTAATCATATCATATAGCAGTAAACTGAAACACCACCAAAAGCAGTATCAGTAGATCTCATTTCAAGAAGTGATGGGCTTATGTCCATTTCAAAGAAATAAGACCTTCAGTCAAACTACAGTATAAAATAAATCTCTAGCTGTAAATTCAAAACTGGTAGAAAATGATAGAGGCATGCCTTGACGAGTCCAGAAAAATCTTTTAATTTATACCTTATGCAGAGATATAAGAGTTGCCAAGTTTTTAATCAATTTTTGTCATGTGCCTCTAATGAAAGCTCAATCTCAAATATTAGTAGGGTGCATTCATAACATTTACCTCCATGACTTGAAAAGCTGTTTGAAAGGGTGATTTTTTAAAAAAATATATTATTTCTGAGCATGTGACAATTCTACTAAAAGGTTCAGGGAAAATAAATTGTTTGTTGGATGGTTCCAGTGACATCACAGAGCATTAGAAATTTGTATTTTTCAACTTTAATGTGACCATTTAGCAAAGTTGTGCAAAAATGAAGTATGTAAAATGTTTTAAGATAGTCGACATATATTAAAACCTATTAAACAACAATAAGAACATTTTAAATAGCCAGAAGGCAAAATTAAATGAATGCAGTTATTTCCCCAAATATCTCTGATTAAGTGTAACCCAGTGATGGCGAACCTTTTAGAGACCGAGTGCCCAAACTGCAACCCCAAACCCACTTATACATCGTCGGGTGCTGGGTGGGTGTGGCCCATTGGGTGGGCGTGGCTGCGGTGGTAACAGCAGACTGGGTGGGTCTAAAAAGTTCAATCAACCAATTGCAACTTTGCAAGATCTTTTTTTTTTCCCATGAGAAGTTGAAATTGATTGATTGATCCTTTTTTTTTTTGTACACAGTGGCAGAGACCTAAAGCGAAAATATTTTATAAAACCCAGCTGAAAGCCTAGGACTGGGGCGATGGCGCACGTGCCCACAGAGAGGGCTCTGAGTGCCGCCTCTGGCACCTGTGCCATAGGTTCGCCACCACTGGTGTAACCCATTTAGCTGCTTTATCTACCCTAATACTTTCAGCTATGTTCCAAATATTTTTGTTACAGTCCCATGATTTTGCTGTCTCCTACTGTCACCTGTCAAGACTTCTTACAATGCAACTGAAAATCCTCTGTAAGTTTATGCTATGGCAGTTAGAACTGAAGTGGCAACTTCAGATGATCATTAGAGGGCAGTAAATATATTTGGAAAACTTCCTTAGTTGCTCCCCCTAGAGGTCCTTAGGTACCATTAATATGTATTTGCTTGGTTTTTCTATTCCATAAGTCTTTATTTTTTTATTTTTAAAAAGCATGGATTTTTGCTCAAATATGGACTTCATGCATGTGGTTGAATTCCATATATACACACATACATATACCTCATCTTTTGTCCTTACCCTATTTATGAGCCAGCCTCCCCCATAATAACTCAAAGCTGCTAGGTAACCCTGTAAAGCAGGTCAAGCTGAGAAAGATTGACTTAGTTAAGACTATCTGCATATTGCTTGTAGATTTTCCATGTCTAAAATCATTGGCCATTAACCAGTTATTTAACTACCTTATTACCTAAATTGTCTACAGCAATTTACTTGTTTGCAGTTTAGCCTTTTCGGTGAATATGTGGACTTACGACCACAATTGAGCCCAAAATTTATGTTGCTAAGTGAGACATTTGTTAAGTGAGTTTTACCCCATTTTACAACTTTTCTTGCAGCAGTTATTAAGTGAATCATTGCCGTTATTAAGTTAGTAATATAGTTAAGTGAATCTGGCTTCCCCATTGACTTTGCTTGTCAGAAGGTCACAGAAGGAGATCACATGACACTGCAATTGTCATAAATATGAACCAATTCCCTAGCACCCAAATTTTGATTACGTGACCATGGGAATGCTGCAATGATCATAAGTGTGAAAAATGGTCTTAAGTCAGTTTTTTTCAGTGCCGTTGTAACTTTGAACTAAATGTTGTAAGTTGAGGATTACCCGTACAGCCTAAATTGGAAGCAAGCAATGTACAATAGATCTTAGAAGCCTAATGTGTCCAGAAGTGATCTACCATCCAAAGATACAAGAAGTATTTTCAAGTTTATGCAGTATAGAATTTGCATGATTGTGATCTGTTGACAATGAATTTGGGAATAGCTCCCATTTTTTTCCTCTGACTACTCTTGATCTTAAAATGTGAGTGGAGAGGACTTGGGTTTGCTAAATGATATACATCCAATCCATTAAAACAGTAGGTTTGGAGGTGTCTGCAGAATGTGGTGAAAACTGTCAAGATGGCCATTGGTACAATCCATTTTTCATTTATTTTTCACATTTTTGAACTACTCATCTCACTCAGAGGGGAACTCAATCAGTCAAAGCTCAGCCTATTTTTATGTACACTGCTCTGCAGATATCCCTGATGGGACAGAGAGAGGGAGTTTAAGCATTTATCAAGAACTTCTTCAAGGCTCCAGTCTCTTTTGGTGCAATAAAGGAATCTCTTGATTTTCTCTTGTGGCTGGCTAATCAAGAGAGAATAGAATAGAATAGAATAGAATAGAATAGAATAGAATAGAATAGAATAGAATAGAATAGAATGGGACTTTGGAAGTCTTCTAGTCCAGCCCCCTGCTCAAGCAGGAGGACCTACCGTATATGCCGGCGTATAAGGTGACCCGGCGTATAAGATGACCCCCGTCTTCGGCGCCGAGTAGCATGCCTAGAACGTCGTCTTATACGCCAGAAACTACCAGTATTTCCGGCGTATAAGACGACTCAGCGTATAAGACGACCCCCGTCTTCGGCGCTGATTTTAACCCTTGCGAAAGTCATCTTATACGCCAGCATATACGGTATATCATCTCAGACAAGTGACTGTCTAGCCTCTTCTTAAAACTCTCCAGTGATGGAGCACCCACGATTTCTGGAGGCAAGCTGTTCCACTGGTTAATTGTGCTCACTATCAGGAAGTTTCTCCTTAATTCCAGGTTGCTTCTCTCTTTGGTCAATTTCCAACCATTGATTCTTGTCCTGCCCTCTGGTGCTTTGGAGAATAGCTTGACCCCCTCTTCTTGGTGGCAGCCCCTCAAATACTGGAATACTGCTATCATGTCTCCCCTATTTCTTCTTTTGACTAGCCAAACCCAAATCCTGCAGCCGTTCATCATATGTTTTAGTCTCTAGGCCTTTAATCATCTTAGTTACTCTTCTCTGAATTTTTTCCAAACTCTCAAGGTGTGGTCTTACTAGTGAGTTTTATAAAGCGGTACTAATACTTCGTGTGATCTTGATTCTATGCCTGTTTATACAATCCAGGATTGTATTAGCTTTTTTGGCTGCTGCTGCACACTGCTGGCTCATAGTCAACTGATTGTCCACTAGAACTCCAAGGTCCCTCTCACAGTTACTGTTTTAAGCCAGGCCTCATGATTTTCCCTGCATAAATGTAAAACTTTGCTTTTCTCCACACTGAAACTTATTTTGTTCAATAGGGCTTATTGTTCAAGTTTGTCAAGATCTTTTTGGATTCTGAGTTTGTCTTCCGCGGTATTGGCTACTTCTGCCAGTTTGCTGTCATCTGCAAATTTGATGAGTTCTCCTTCAATTCCCTCATCTAAATAATTGATGAAGATATTGAAGAGTACTGGGCCTAAGACGGAACCTTGTGGTACCCCACTGCTTACTTCTCTCCATGTGGATGTAGTGCCATTGAGGACTACTTGTTGAGTACGGTTTGCCAGCCAGCTACAGATCCATCTGGTGGTGGTGTTGTCTATTCCACCTTTTTCTAGCTTACCAAGGAGTAGGTTGTGGTCTACTTTATCAAATGCCTTATTGAAGTCTAAGTATACTACGTCCACAGCATTTTGCTGGTCTACTAGTTTAGTTACTTTATGTGTCCCCCTCAACCAATGAATGACTGTCTGAGGGTAGTCACGGTGAATAAAGATCCAACAGCATCTCTTTCCTGTCTTCTCACTTCATGGTTGGTCTGGAATGGTCCAAGCCACCACTTCACAGCAAAGCAGAGATCATCCTCTAAACAACCTTTTCTTCCAGATTCTAGGAGGTGAAAATTGACTTAGCATAATTGTTGACCCATCTACAATATTATGCCTTTGTTAGGTAAGGCTGGCTGAGAACTATGGATTGGTTGGAAGTAACAAGTTGGTATTAAAACTAATATTTATTTATGTATCACCCAGGAACTCAAACTGGGAATTCAATGTCAATTCAATTCTTCCACAATACCTACTGGGCTTCAGAGACAAGCTGCATTCAATTCTGGAGTCAATTTACCCACCAAAATTAGTAGCATCTGACATCCCACTTTCTCTTTAAATTAAAAGCCATCGTTCCTAAATATGACCAGATGTGCACTTCCGTGGGAAAATACCTTTGGATTTAAATTTTTTTTGACTGGATTTATTATTTCTGTCTATATAGCAGATGAGGGACTCTTTTGCAGCATCACCTTTCAGCCCATATAATGCAATTAAGACTTTTGCAAGAAACAGAAAAGCACTAAGCAATATACTTTGCAGCTGGCTGTTACAGCAAACATGAATAGGTCAAGAACTGTACCACGCTCACCATTCACATACAGTGAGGCGGATGTGTGTAAGTAAGAGTATAAAATTATGCGAATTTCAAGGTTTTTCTACACACTTCTTTCCGTTGCAAAAGCTGTGCGCCTTAAGAACCGGAACTGAATGGGTCACGGAACTTCCTAATAATCCAATTCGGGTTTGAAACAAGATCTTCGAAATAATAAGTCCAACTTTGCGCCTACGTAACGCGTGAAGTGCTCCAGATTTGAAGGTTACAGTGTTGCGTTCCAACGTGTCGACTTCCAACGGGGTTTCGACAAACTGCACGGAAAACAAGATACTTTTAGTCTTATCAAAAGTATTACCTTTTATATAAGATCTGGGTAGGAGGGTGGGGGGGCTACCAACCCAGCCCTCCAATATTCTGCAGCGCTGACCTTCCCCAACCGGGGGAGCGCCTCATGCATAGGCCAGAACGTTTGGACGCAACCACCGTGGAAAGAGAAGGTGCCTCTCTCAGTCCCCGATCTGGGAAATGAAACAATCCAGCATGGCCCCGCCCACTCCCCGCCAAACCCGGAAGTGGTGCCCGCCCGGGGGAGCGGCGTGCGTGAGCGTGTTCTTGCTGCTCCATGGGGGCGTTGAGTGGGGCTGGCGCGATGGGAGCGGCTGTGGCGGCCTTTTACGTGACAGCTGCGCCCCACTCCGCGCTCGGGGGAGATTCTGGTAAAGTATCAAGATCCGGCCTCATGTCCTGCCTGTTTTTTCGCGGATATCCCCCGCCCCTAAGTTGTACTGCATGTTTTTGCATATTCTAATTTATGATAATAATGCAACCCATTGGTTGGAAACCCAAATCGGCTTTTGTGATGCATCTGTTCTAGCAATGAGGTAGTTTGGGATTTTTTTTTAAAAAAAAATAGCACTTGACTTGTTTAAAAAAATAAACATGGATTACTTTTGTAGCAGAATTTTAATCTTTTGGGATACAGTGGACCCATGTTGTGGATTGGGGAGAATCTGAAAATTCAGTTGTCCTTTCTTTCGGATAATCAGCACGTGAAGTTTTTTTACGGGGATGAAATGAAATGTGGACCTCCATGCATTTAATAACTGTCCAAACTTAAATGCTTTGAGTAGATAACTTGGGAGTTATATGAATAAAATGGAAGTGGGGGGAAGTATATTGAAAAGTTTAAATTTCAGCATGTCAGATTTGTGGTGATCTGTTCCTGTAGTCCTAGATGGCATCACACATTAGATTTACATTTGTGCCACTCAATGTTTCTGGGACACGATAATAAAATACCAGAAAAGACTCTGTTTATTTATTGGATGCAGACTTCATGAATGTGATGCAAAAGGAAATTCATTCTTCTTCTTAAACAGCTACGCACAGGGTGCTGCTTTTCCTCTGATGGAGATACAGATGTTTAAAATCATAAAAATATGATTCTGCTATTTATCCCCTACACACAAATGTTATTGTTGTGCACATAGCAGCATCTGGAATGCACCCAAAACAAGTTTTTTATTGGGGAGTATGCAAAAATATTGATTGATATTTGCAGTCCAACCATTCTGTGACATCTGTGGACTATCTTAATGAATAATAATAATACTCGCATGGCAAGATTATAATGGAAAAACCTTCCAGTGTGAGCCAATCTAATGCAAATAAGATGAAGCAGTGGTGGTATTATTAAATAGTTGTGTGTGATTATTAGAATGATGCTTGACTGGCATACTTCTGAAAATGCTCTGGGTGAGAGAGTGCAATTTGCTTATAATATGATAGTGATTTCCCCACAATAGTTGAGAGATTAAGATGTTTCTTTAGGATTGGAGAGACATGGGTTCAAGTCTGTTCTTAGTCGTGGAAGTTCTCTGGTTGACTTCAGGCTAGTTGCTGTGTCTCATCCTACCCGACACTAACCCTAGACACAGAACTTGTGGGGGGGGGGTGAGGAAGAGGAAGGAATGTTATATATGGCATGTTGAGAGCTATACTGAGAAAAAGTAGGATATAATTCAAGGGAGGGAGGAGGGAGGGAAGGAGGGAGGGAGGGAGGGAGGGAGGAAGGAAGGAAGGAAGGAAGGAAGGAAGGAAGGAAGGAAGGAAGGAAGGAAGGAAAGGAAGGGAGGCAGGGAGGGAGGAAGGGAAAGGAAAGGAATCTCTTCTCATAGAGTTTTTCTGTCTACACCATTCACCATTGTCCTTTGCTTGTTGTCTTTTAAATGAGCTGGAATCCAGTTTAAGCCACCATGAAGGATGAGAACATCCAGAGGGCTTTGTTATAGCAGGCTAGACTACCAAACAAGGAAGCTAACTCAGACAAAATGATTAAAAAGCAGCAGAATAACATCAGCAAAATTAAAAATCAATTTGCCCATTGTTCGGAATTAAAAAATAGATTTGTATAGCAGTGGTTAAAATACTGTAAAAGAAAAGCAATACAAAATTGGAAACTCTAGCAAAGTTGTCTCCCACCCTTAATTCTAAGTAGCAGCATTCATTTAAAAGGAGATTTATTTTTTTAAAAAAAATAGCATATTAAAGATTAATGACATTTTCAAGAAACATAGGAATAGGTATTAAGTGGTGCAGCAATTGGAATTAATTCTTTCATACAGCATCCTCCAGATATGTTGCAGAACCTTTCCCCAATTTTCTGGTATGCTTTTGGAGGGTGTACAAGCTGTTGTAGAGGAAGAAAAAGCCCTTTTCCATTAGCAGCATCTGTTTTGTTCGTGGCTAGGGACATGCGGACTGTTAAATATAATCTTATGAGTAAATCTGTATTGAACATGAAAAGGAATATGACTCAGGAAATGCTCTGTAGAGCTTTGACAGTTTTAAGCTAGGGACAGGCAAGCTGCTACGCTCCAGATATTTTGGACACAAATCCCATAATCTCTAACCAGCATGACCAATGGTCGGGGGGGGGGGGAATGGATATGTGTCCTCCAGATCTTTTTGTTTATATGCCCTATATACCCCTATGTGTTTGAAGGTGTTCTCTCCTTGAAAAGCTTTCCAATCAAGACCCATAAAAAAGAGCTGGAATCTTGCGAGTTGTCTCTTAATTTGCAAGCAGGATGTGCAGCAAAACATACAGGTTACTTATAAGTAGGCTATCTTTCTTGTTATAGAATTGATAATATAATGATAATAATGTACCTTTACCAAGGCACAGCACAAAATAAGCAACCCCTCCCCAAATAATGACAAATTGCTCCAATAAAATTTGCTTAGAACTCTGTAAGCAAATATTATCGTTCCAGCAGTATACTTAAAACAGTTGCCTGGGATAAGACTGAGTGTTTCTACATCCATAATTATTTAAAATGGGTGTTAATCTGGACCTGGCAGTGAAATAAGAGTAGATTAGAACAACCAAGACCTACATGAACCTGCTAATCAAATAAAAAAGGTCTTTAACTCTCTATTAAATGCCGTCAGATCTCCCCAAAGGGAAAGGGAGTTGATCCCAGTTTTATGGGGCCAGATCCCTCAAGAAATTGAAGGTGTGCATCTCTACATATGACTCAATATGCAAATTTTATGCAATTGAAATCCTCTTTTATGCCTCTCTTCCCTGTTACTTAACAGTGTAGAAATAGCACTGTATTTTGATTCTTCCCCTGAGCCAATGAAGTAGATTATGATGTTTTGGCTGTGTCTGAGGAGTTACTGATTGATTGTACCAATCCTGCATAACCGTAAAGACCAGAATAATCCTAATAGAGAAAAGTCCTGAAGAACCGCATTGCCTGGTTCCTTCAACAACAGAACAGATTTGGTCTAGAGAAGGGAAAAAAGGACTTGGAGAGAGGGCAGCTGCTGTCTAAAATATTAACACCATGGGAAGTTTTGATATATTATGGGACATTAGACACTAGATGAATTATCAGGCAGGCTGAGCAAGGACATTGGCATTTAAGCCTGTCAACCTGATTTCAAGAAATAATGTAAAGGGGTCAGGGCTGTGGTGGAAAAACTGACAATGACCAGAGAGATCCAATAAAACTGGTGTATTAAGCTAGCAGAAGAATACCATGACCAGCCAAGGCAGGAGTCCTGATGTTAGAGAGCATTGATCCTATATAGGTTCTGTCACATTAGATTATATTCTAAAGGTATTGTAAAGTAATTGCAGTGCTTTTTTTTGTGAAAAATAAAAAAATAAAAAAAAGGTGCCGGAACTCACACACGTCATACAACCTGCCTTGCCTACCCTATAAGGTTCCATCCCAAAAAGGTGCCGGAACTCCGTTCTGGGCGTTCTATGACAAAAAAAGCCCTGAGTAATTGAATACTTATTTTGCAATTATCAAGGCAAGGAAGTAGATGGTGTCATCTTTGGAACATGGGGCTTCTTGCTTAGAGAAGAGGAATCACAACATATAGGCAATAACTTATCAAAGGCACTGATCAAGTTAAATTAGGCTTTTATGCGGTGAGTCTCCATATTCTATAAACATGGGAAACCCTGAACGAGATTATCACTTTTATCCTTGAGTAAATCGGCACAAGTGGAAAACATTTGACATACATCTCAAAGCCTCCTTTATACACACAGAGGATAATACGTAGCAAAAAATGGGGTTTTTGCTAGTATAAAGATGGCAGTTTAACCTTGCTTATATATGAAGTGAGAAGGCTGCATAGCACAGCAAGCAATTTTATTTCAGTCTTCTAAATTCTTACAAAATTATTGTAGGGGGCTGGACTAGAAGACCTCCAAAATACCTTCCAACCTTATTCTTCTATGTTCTATTGCTTCTAATGCTACCATAGGACCTGCCTGCGTTATTACTTTTTTCCTGCTCATAGTTTATCTGTGACTGAATATTTTATCTGTTTCAAATTTCTGACCTTCTTCAATGGATAATTCTTATCAGAAGTTCATGGATTTTATGTTAGCTTGCCTGAGTAATTTATAAATAGTTAATATAGCTGCCCTAAATGGTTGCCTATAGAGTGAAACCTGATCTCTAATCCCTAAAATATTTTTCTATACAGGAAAACCTCTGGGCTCTGTGTAGGCTACACATGATTTTACACAATTAAAATGGAATATGTATATACTGTAGAGCAGAGGTCTCCAACCTTTCCAGACTTGAGGACCGGAAGGAAGGAGAGCAGCTTCAAAATTGGTGTGCATGCATGTGCACGGGGCCATGAGCACTAGCAGTTCATGCATGTGGCATGCGCTGGTGCTCTGCGCATGCACAAGCAGCCATGAACCTCCCACAGCGGCTAGCGGCCCATTCACACATGCACAAACGGGTCACGCAAACCACCTGGGCTAGTGGCGCATGCACAAATGGGGCTGTGGGTGCTTGGTGAGGGGGGGAAATGCACGCCCATGCGAGCGCGCACCAGCCAGCCATTTCTGTGGCCTGCTGGTCAAGAGCCCACGGTCTAGGACCGGGCGGCGGACCATAGATTGGGGACCCCTGCTGTAGAGAGTTGCACCCAGTAGTTTTCCTCTTTTCTTTGGAAAAATACTCAGCTCCCCAGAAATCATTGACTGGGGGGTGGGGGGGGGAGGAGAATGGGATAGGAAAATACTTCATTAGTTTGCCTTCTGAGCATTTTGCAACGTGTCCCATTCTCAGTGATGGTCATTTTAAAAGAATGACCACATATTGATATCATATGATTTCATATTCCCTTTAAAAGTTTCTATGCTCTTGAACCAATTTGGTACTGAATTTAATCTGACTTCATTGTCTTTTTGTATCTATTTGTGACCTATCCCAGTTCAGAGAGCAATGTGATCTATTTTATTTCATTATTTATGAATCAAATTGATATAGAAACTCATTTTGCGGAAAGTGACTCTGGTGATGCACAACAGTCACCCATGATCTGTGTGTGAACTCTGCATTTACTTGTGATTTTTTTTTCTTCCAGTATTTTAAATATATATAAGATAAGATAACCTTTATTGTCATTTTTTTTACTGTGGGCATAACGGCACACATCAAAAATGAAATTTAGTTGCCTGCTCTCAAAGTGAAACACATACATGACACACCCAAACATACTGTATACAACATATGTACAGACCCACACCCCTACATATACATAACAAATAAATATGAAATACTGTCCATCTTGAATATATAACGGAAGGAGGAAGCTTGAGAGTTTACAAGGTTAATGCTGTATGGAATGAAACTATGGCTGAATCTGTTACAGCTAATGCTTTACTTCACATTGCAATTTACTTATTTCCCCTGTATTTTCATTATGCTTCTTATATGTTGCTTCAAGTTTTTTAAATAAGAAATGGAAGTAAAGAAATAGAGCAAACAATAATAAAACAACTTTGAAAGTTGGGCATCTGCCATGGCATGAACTTGTTAAGTAGCATTAGGCATAACGCAGCCTCCTGCCTTCAGCTTCTGAGCTGTGAAATGGGGCTAGGAAACTAGGTTCTGCAAGGGGCCATGCTCCATCCCCACAGGATTCATTTGGTAGAGTTGATGCAACATGATCTGCTCTGCAAAGCAGAGGGAGGGGGGGTGTTCATCTGAAGCTTGGTCTTTAAGCTGGCTTCTAGAGGTACCTGGAAACCACTTGGATTGGAAGGGTGGGTGTTGCACCTTCCCTGCTTTGCAATTTTGTTTTGTTCAAAGCCTCATTGAAGTGAAGGGTCCCTTTGAATCTCCCAATAGTATAGTACTTCTGAGAAAAAAATGGTGAACTGAAGATGGCTCCACAAAAAGTAGATCTGATGACTGCAGTGGAATGAAAAATGGCTCTTTAGTAATTCCTCCCCAGACAAGGAGAGGACTTGAAATAGCCCATAAATTCTCCATATGGTTGCTTCTTGTAAGAAGATCTCAAGGCAGCAGTCTCCAACAGGTTTAAAGCTCTGGAAGATGAGGGAATAACCATCTTGTCAGTAGTCAGTGTTGTAGTCAGTGCCTTTGAAAGGACTTTCTTTTTTAATTGGTTTTGGAAATGGATTGACAGGTTTTACAGCATCAGTTGAGTTTCCTTCAATCCTTAGCAATAGGAGTATTAACTACAAGTTTAAGAATTTAAGAGGGTTTTTTGATGGGGGGGATAAACAAAAAGGGGTGAATAAAACTTTGATTTTAGGAAGTTAGAAACGGACTAAGGATGCAGATAAATTTGAAATGAGATTTTGGAATTCATTATAAAAAATCATTCCCATGGGAAAATGTTTTTGTTTAGATTTTTCTTTTTAAAAACATAAATAGATAAGACTTTAAAAATGGGACACTAGAGGTAACTAGAAGGAACTAAAAATTACAATTAAAGGAGAAGAACATGCAAACTTAATTTATAATTACAAAATGAAGCAAAACATTTTAACATTGGACATATTGGAGAGTATGCCTTTTTGAACAATGGTTCCAGAAGTTATTGTATGCCTTTATAGCTAGACTGTGCCTAAAAATGTTATGGAAGAGGAACAAGTTCTATCTGACATGATTGAGACTGAGCTGAAAGGTGATTTAAAAATAACAGGCTACAAAAATGACATATGAAAAGATGTTATTTGGACATGCAAAAGAAACTGGCTGATGTTTAAGTAATAAAAAAGATTATACAAACAACATACCAAGAGTGTGACTTGGATAATTTTTTTCTGTTGGATTCACAAAAGAGGTTTGTTAAAGTTTCAAAGAATTTTGTGAGAAGGAACAAAGAAGAAATGAAAAGAAATCTATGACATTACTTGATGACACTAAAAATGAAGACTGTTAGAAGTAAAAGGAAGGAATATAAAACTGGTTTATTTGATCAAATAAACCAGTTTTATATTCCTTCCTTTTACTTCTAATAGTCTTCATTTTTAGTGTCATCAAGTAATGTCATAGATTTCTTGCCTAAAATACACATTTTGTTATCTCTGGTAATCCTTAATGGACTTTTGCTGACATCAGGATTGAAATGATGAGGCTTTATGGATGAGTTTATGGATGAAGGATGGGGTATAGGAAAAATAGATCATATGTTGAATTTTAAAAGACAGTGATAAATTACTAAAATTATTTGCACTTGAAGATGGGAAGTTATTTCTTTATATATCTCTTTTTCTTTATTGTTCTTTTTCTTTTCTATTTCTATTTCTTTTTCCTTTTTTTCTTTTTTCCACCTTTTCCTTTTTTTTAGTATTAGTTTTTATTATTGTAAGGACAATTCTTGATAAAATTACTATAAAAGATATCTCCCAGCAGTATGACTGATATGTCTTTGTATAAGTAGGTTGCAATTAGCGCCTGTTCAAATGTAGTTAGTCCTTGCTTAGCGACCTCAATTGGGACCGTCAATTTCATTGCTAAGGGATGTAGTCACCAAAGGAAATATCATGTGTCTGACATACTTACAACATCACTTTGCATTTGGTCGTTTAACAAGTCATTGTTAATCAAAACATTAGGTGACTATAACTCACAGTTGTATTGCTGGCTTCTTCACTCTGGTTGTTTGAAGCTGGTTGGAAGTCTATAAATGGCAACCACATGATCTTGGGATGCTGCAAAGATCACAAATGCCTGCTGGTTGCAAAGCTGTGGCTCACACCCTTTGGAATAGTCTTCACCCTCAGGTGAGATCTGCCCCCACCCTCAGGGCCTTCCAAAAGAGCTTGAAATCTTGGCTTTGTCAATTGGGTTGTGGCCTCGACGGAGGCATCCCATTTTGGAGGTGGCTTGTAGACTAGTACAAGATCTCGCTTTCACTCGGTCTATATATTAGCTTTTTACCCATTTTAATATTAATTTTTAATGTTTTAGCTTTTAACGTCTAATGTTTTACTCCTATAATTGTTTTATTCTGCTATTTATGGTTATTGTAAACTACCCTGAGTTGCTTGGCAGAGAGATGGGCAGCATAAATGTTTAATAAATAAATAAGTCTTGGTCACATGACTATTGGGATGTTGCAACAGTCCTAAGTGTGAGGACTGGACACAAGGTTACTTTTTCAGTGCTGTCATAACTTCAGATAGTCACTAAACAAGGAAATTGTTAAGCAAGGTCTTCTTGTAATGCAATATTCAGTTTAGTGTGATTGTAAATTGATACCAAGTTGCATTTAATCAAAGCCAAAATTCACTTAATTCAATGCTAGTACCTGCACAGTTGAGGCTAGTGCATATAGAGTTGCAGTTTCTATCTGCAAAATGGAGAAAAAGAAGATCCCATCAAAAGAAAACAGTACAAGTTTTAAAACTTATTATGTTCAACCAAAAAGTTGATGATATTGAACTCTATGATCATGGTCATAGCAGTGCTAAAATAGGACTAGATGTTGGAATGCCTAAATATATAGAAGATTGTTTTTTGCTCTCTATAACTATTCTACGACTTTGTTAACCATACATTTAAATTTTATGTTCTTTGTAGAATAGAATAGAATAGAATAGAATAGAATAGAATAGAATATTGGGCAAGTGTGATTAAACATACAAGGAATTTGTCTCTAGTGCATAAGCTCTCAGTGTACATGCAAAACAAAAAAGTAATAATCATAACGAAGGATAATCATAATGATATGAATAGAAAAGGTAGTGAAACAGATGAGAAAGATAAAAGTGATATAGCCTTACTACATGGGTAATAGACTTGACAGAATGTGGAAAAAGAAGTGTTTATTATAACATTTCATTAGTATACATATAACAATTTAAGTTAAAAAAATTCAGTGCCCATTTCCATTGAACTGAAACCAGTTATCATATTTTCCATAGAAATGTCACTTCGAATAGCACAAATTCAAATAATGTGACCATTTTGTATAATTTATGAACTGTATTAATTGAGAACAATTAATAAAGATTGCAAAAATTATCCCTGAATCTTTGGATTCAGTCCTTAAGGATAACAATTTTGTTGTTTTGTGTGGAAACATCAAATTTTGAAAAAAATCTGCTATTTTGGTTAGGCTTTTCTTTAAAAAAAAAAACAACCCACAGAGAGAAGAGTAAATGGCCCTCAAAGGAGGGGAAAAACTCTGTCTCTCCCCGGAAGTTCTTTGCAAAAATGTAACCAAATTTACCTTGGACCATCTGACTTGCATGTTTTGAAGATGCAGTATGCTGAAGAGGATATTAATGAAGCTGAACTGTAACACGTTTGTATTATGTTTGTTTGTTTTTCAAAATGATCAGTGGAAAATTCAGTAGGGCTGCTGATGAGTAAAAGCCTGAAGGCTGGGGAAATTGTAACAGTATAAAATTTGCAAGGTACTTGGGAATAAATATATATCCTTAGTAGGATAATTGTCCTGTTCTAAAATAGAAGTCCACACTGATTTAAAAAAAAACAGTATCAAGAATCCATATACATAGTCGAAGGCTGAGCTGTGAAATCAAATTTTCTCTGTTATTTTGTCTTTTTCATGTGGCCTCTGTCCTTAATTACTCCAAATTTAAAGAATGATGTTGATGTTGTTGTTTTTTGTTGTTGTTATTCATCATTAACAGCTACAACTCACCTTCGCTTTTCTGCTGGTAGGAGAGTCAAGAAAACACGACAAAAGAATACTTTGTGCATTGACATCAGAGGGGAAAGAAAATACTCCTGGAAAATTTCATGCTGCTAAATCTCCACAGATTTACACTTTTATGCAGTCAAATTAATGCAAAACCCCCAACGTAAGGGTTTGCAGTTTGAAAATTTGGGAGGAGTGTCATTCCATAATAGTAATTATTGGTTTTATATTATTTTTTCACAGGGGAACTGATCACAGCTGCCTATGAGCTTGGAGTGAGTATTAGTTGTATTGTTTAATCAATGCTCTCATTAACAGTTTTAGGAATTAAGGAAGTTTAATTAAGCATGGAGTTAAAGTAGATTAATATATTTTCAAACCACAGTTTTTCTAACTTATAAGTATGGCACACGACAATTTACTCCAAGTTTTAAATCCAATTAAACTAAATTATAAAGTAAAGGCTTTACTGTATATACAGTAGCTGGCTTATTATCAATCCAAATTTTGTATAAGCTGGAGAGAATAAAAATAAATCGGGTTAACAATTTTAATAAGTTTTATTATTCAATAAACTTTATTAAGGCGCATGATCCCCTTTAGGCAAAACCTTAAGGACTGTCATCATGGTGGTAATCCGATAGCAGTGTGGTCTTTCAACTTGCTAACCAATAAAATAGTTCAGCATCTGTTTTTTCCCTCTTTTCTCTCTTTTATAATTGTATAATAAAAAGAAACCCAGCATTTTGAATGGCCGGAATACATGCTGAATCCAGACTTCAAGCCATTTAGGGGATAATAGTAATACATGTCTTCACTTTTTAAAGTGATCTGCTCTATCTATATTTTGTGCATCCACATACGTTAAGGCAAATGTTTTGCTGTATTTAAAGTTAGCACTTACAGAAGAGTGTGTTTGTGTATGAGAGAGAGAAAGGGGGGGAGGAAGGGAGGGGGAGGGAGGAAGGGGGAGGGAGGGAGAAGAGTAGCTTTTTAAGGCATAGTACTCTAACTGTTTATGATTAAGCTAATAAGAAAGCCATTTCTCCATTAAATGGCCATTGTGACATCTCAAAACAGAAGTCTTTTGTTGTTCACAGGTTGCTCATCCTCCGGGCTACCCCCTCTTCACTCTTCTGGCTAAACTGGCCATTGAGCTTTTTCCCTGTGGTTCTGCTGCATATCGCGTTAATCTCTTCTGCGCATTGTTGGGGGCAGCTGCAGCATCGCTTTTGTTTTATACAGTTGTCAGGTACAGTAGATCCCTCTCTCTCTCTCTCTCTCTCTCTCTCTCTCTCTCTCTCTCTCTCTCTCTCTCTCTATCTATCTATCTATATATATATATATATATATATATATATTCATATTCTGCAGATTATCATCTTTATGATAAATAAAATCTACCGAGTGAAATATCTTCAAGGTATACTAGAAAGGATATTTTTCTGTGATATAATATTGCAATTAGATGTAAAAGTTCATAATAATTTGATGGCTTTCGCATCTAGTGGGCCATTAAACTAGTTGCTCCTACGGCATTGGCTCCAGACTATTAATTGATTCAACTGCCTACCGTTTACAGAATTTCAGTTGGCCATTTAACATTGAACTTACTGGAAAAAAAGAAAAAGAAAAAAAATACAAAACACCCAGAGCACAAAACTGCCAAACTAATTTATTTCAGGAGAGTGATAACATTGTTCTCTCTTATTATCATACATCAGTGACCAGGTTTATCTAACCAGAAGTAACAAAGTTTGTCATTAAAGAAAGATGCAGATGGCTTTAAAATATTAAACAATACAAGTGTCAACTGTACTGACAAACTGTTTAATTGTTAGTATTACAAAATGGAGGCAGATGCCTCTTGATGATCTTTATTCTGTCTATTTTACCTGTGTTGGGTACCATAAGCAAGAAATAGTGCCGATTGAACTTCACGGAATTAAAGAATTGTGGTGTGAAAAGAAAACCATATATTGCAACTATGTAGCTGTGTGAGCAGGATTGTTGGACATTGTTAACAAAATCTGCCTTTTTCTGCATTGGATGCTGTGTTCTAAGCATGCAAAAATGAGAATATAAAGAATAACTGGTACTTTGTTACTTTTGCCCATCCTTTTGTCTTCCTATCCTCACAATGAGAAGGTTTCTCTGCATACTATTAACAATTTTTGATAAGGATAGCTTTCTCCAGAGTTTGAAGACCTGGCTTATGCTCCTTTCATTTGTATTTGCACCTGTGAGAGATGATTCTCTATGCTTTAATTCAGCAGATCAGATGCAGGGATGATTTTTCCCCTTGTAGATGAGGATGACCTGTGGCATATAGACAGACAAAACTAAAGTTGTTCAAGTTGAGCTCAAATGCCTGGTGACTTTGTGGCTATAGTCACGTGTCTTCCAGGCAGACTTGTTCACAGGCTTCAACTGCATTGCCTGACTATGAATTGTATAGCAGCCCTGCAAACTACAGTTGTGCTCTTATGCCCCTTATTTCAAATGGGGAAACTGAGGCTGGGAGAGACTGCCTTGCCTACTGAATTCTTTGGGAGACGATATTCAAATGGAGGACTATATGACTTTTCAGTGTAATTATCTGTGTGCATTCTGGGACCATATGGATAAACCCAATCATAGTAATCCTGTCTATCCAAAAGTGATTTTTCTTCTCATTTGATTATGGATTGGTTAGGAAAGACGGATAAAATTGAACCCGTGTACAAAGGTTGGGTATTCACATGCAAACCCCAAGTGAGAGAGATTGTCATGTAGAAGAAGAAGCTCCTAATCCTTTGTGATTAACCCATGAAAAGTATGTTTTATTTGATATAGTGAACATTTTAGAACATTTAGTTAGGGGTCTACCAATGAGTTGAGGGCAGTGCCCTTCAATGTTTAGGATACTCCCAAAATTCCACTCCAATCACTTTACTTGTCCCATAATGGAGAACTGGATTGTTTTGCAGATGTTAAAGATTATTACCACGTAAAAGTTATTCTGAAAGCATTCAAAATACAGGAAGCTCCATTGCTTCCCCTTCCTCCCCCTACTCTGTAATGTTGGAAATATTTACTTTTATATAAATACACTGGTCTTAATTAAGGGATTGTAGAAACCTCTTGGGCAGACTTTCTAATCTTATTTAGAAAATACAGTTAATCGTTGCAATAATCCCATTTTATGGGTTGGGAACTGAGGCTGACAGATACTGTGTTGCCCAAGGCCAGTCTGCAAAAAATAAAATGTTTTTGGCCAATTAACGTTACCACTGTCGATATGCCAACACGCTGGGTCACCCTGGCTGTTATAATAGGTTTCTATATTTTTATGAAAAGATGAAAATAATGCCCCATCAATGCTTTGGAATATTTTGAGAGGAGTTAAATTTCTCAATTATTAGGAGGAAAAATATGTATAATAATAATAAAAAAATCCCATGGTGCAAAAGAGATAAGCAGGAATTTCTCAGGAAGGTGAATGCCACCTCTAAATAGAGGAATGGGAAGAGTTAGGAGTCTTTGAATGTTCCTTATTACATACGTCCTTTTCAGTTGAATAAGGATTAGCATCTCCCGTAATGTTAATTTGAAATCCAAACCTGTCCTGTACTTTGCCAAGCACTCTTGTGATCTTTGTTAAAATTAATGCAGGTTGAGCGGGGAAGAAGGCTCGGTGAATTATTTTCTGATTTTCTTTCCTTGGCTGGGTTAAATGCTTTCCATATTGCCTGCAGGGAGAACTCTCTTCAGTCCCTTATTTGCTTAAGTACACTTCCTTAAGATTTTATGAATAGGACTTCCCCTATCAGATAATTCATCCTTAACTAATTTTCAGTGTACTGTAGTGCAAAGAAAGAGGGTTAAAAATAATAAAAGGCCCAAAGCTTTTGAAGGAAAATATTTAAAGCAGAAACTCTCAAGGCAACGATGTTTTTTGTCAGTTAGTAACAGCATTGAGCATATATGTTAGGGAAGAATAAATAATGGCTCACATTCCATTAGTGGGCGTGATGATGGAGAAATCGCATTGAACTCATTTAAATTAATCTTTAATGCTTTCCAACTAATACTGCTTCTTGAAGCAATCCACCTTTGTCCTTCACCTTTTTTAAGTTCACAGGCTGAAACCTTGCAAAGGAATGGCATTGGGAGGGGGTAATTTTTGTTGCATTTCAGTTGGTTCTTGGGAGGTGAAGAAACAGGCAAATTAACTGGTTTTTTTTAAAAAAAAAAATAATGGCATTAATATTTAGTTGTACTTGCATTCTGAATGCAAAGCTGTACAAAATTAGATGCATACTTTAAAGTTGTAGAAGAACATGCTACTTTCCCTCCCTCCCTTCCTTCTGCCAATAACGAAGATAGGTTATTATGCTTAGGTTTAGAGTCCCTCATTTTGGGGTGGCACCATTTGGCTGGCCTGGCTTTGTGTTATGCTCCATCTGTGTGGGTGTATATGTGAGAGAGAGGGGGGAGAGGGAGGGAGGGGGTGGGAGAGAGACTTTTTAAAACCTTCAGAACTAAATATTTGTGCATGCATTTCTGATTTGAGGGCTGGAAATATACCCTTCCAGCAATGTTTGCTGGCTGTACTCTGAATTTCAGTGGTTTATAGATCATGCCAACTCTATGTGCTGCTGCAAAGGAATTTGCATTCACACTATAGATGCTTAAATATTGCTAATATATTTTCAGATTTGGTTGTCAAATCTGCCTTGAGATGGCAGCTGCTGTTTGCATGCACATTGCGATAATCTCTTCTTAAATAACTAAAAATTCAAAGGACCTTCAGGTTCCTTTGGAATGGCTCAACCAGTTTGTTTTCAATGTCTGAAGAGTTGCTTCCTTTCCTCTCTACTTTAATGATTTAGACAGATCATTTTAACTGGAAAAATTCACTGGGGTCTAAATATCCTGGGGCAAACTTATAGACTTCAGACATTCCTAACCTTTACATGAGGTAAATCCCCAAAAAAGACTTGAAAGGGTTCCCCCCCCCCTTGGGGAGATAGGTTGGGTGAGAAAAAAAACCTATCCATTCTGTATCCCGATAGATGCTGTGAATACGGATGGTCTCTCATTTTTTTTTAAGATGCCAAATAATAAAAGGATGCATCCTTCAGGAACAATGCAGTTCAAGTGGGAAATCTGTTGTCTCATCAAGCAATACAACCCCTTGCCATTTCTATGGCAATTTGTGGAGAGGGTGGCCTATTGATTCAGTGGAAGAAGACATTATACAGTGTCACTTTGGGTTGTTACAATTTCATTTGTTGGGTGACCTGAACTTAACCTTCTAAAAACCTTTTCTTCTTTGTACATAACACCGGCCTTGGGGGTTTTCTGCGCCAACAGTGGAGTACAGTGAACAATTACAGTTGTGATTGTTGTGGGTTTTGTTTCTTAAACAAACCACCCCTCCCGACGTACACGTTTTCTTCATTTATACGCTATGTAAATCAGTTCTTGTAATAGAGTTTGTTCCTTTTATTGGCATCTGTTTGGAGTCATCTCTTAAGTTTCATGTTGTTTGCAGAGCACGATAGTTTCATTTTAATGTTTAATTGGGCGACACTCTTGTCGTTTAATTCATTCCTGCTTAGGAGGACATTGTTCTACACGTGGATTAGTGCTAAGTGAATTCTGACACTTTGTTCTTCTAATCAGAATTTCAGTTCTGCCAGGTAGCAAAGCTTTTTTTTCTCCTCCCCTCCTATTTGATGTTTGCAGTTTTTGAAGCCTCCCAATTTTCTTCTATATTTATCTGAAATTGATGATTTTCAAAAGATACTTTTAATCCCCCCCTTTAAAGTTTAATATTTTAATTTCGAATGTGGGAGAATGTTCTGTATTGCTCAGTTTTAAAACTGGATATTTCTTCTCTTCTGTCCTTTGCTTCCCTAAAAATTGGTTGCTTGTAAAAACACGGTTTATATGGCACTGATTTAAGTAGATGCATTGATTATTTTTTTCTTTGTGACAAAGCAGGAAATAAAATTTAAACATTGTTTTGTGTGTTGTGGTTTTAGAAGTTTTGACAAAGCGATGGAGTGTTAATGAAATCTGCAAGTCTTATTTTGCTGACAAAAATGTCATATTTTTATGTAAGAGACATTTTGATTGCTTTCTCTTAGATGGGGAGGATGTGGCTGCTAATTTGTGTTATCACTTTTAGCAGACGAGAAATAGACATTATAACTCAAATAGCAAAAAAAAAAAGTCTTGCCAGCATTTTTCAGAATTAAGTTG